CATTATGATTTTTGCTTTCATTAAGCATCATGGCTTGTTTAGTGCTGTTGTGCTGCATTGTGATCTCGTTCTGTTTGTGAACAATGGGTCTGAATGTAGTGGAACGATATTGTGAGCACCAGCCACATGACGCTTGCCCACCTGTCATGTGAAGTTACAGTGGTAAAGTATGTAATTATAGTTGTGCAGTTGATCTTCTCAAATTACTATAAACTTTTAGCTTGTAGCAGATAATACCAGCATGATGATATTTTGTAGTTGTATTTGGCTCTGCAGAATGAGCAGAGTTATATAGCATGTTATTTTCTTATAAAAATAGAAAAGAGCAACACAGCAGTCTGCCCAGTCGTGTTTTGAAATAAAACTGTTTTGAAAATGTTTTCATTAACCCTAGGTTGTATCGGAATATTAAATAGGATCCAAGCAAATGGGGTCCCCAGCAGTACTGCAGAGGGTCTACCAATAATTGTTTGATCTCAAATTAATTTTTGTTGAAAAAGGTATGATTTAAAAAAAAAATGTTTTTAAAGAAGTCATTTTAGCAGATATTACCCCGGTCTTCAGCGTCACTTCAGAAATCATTCTAATAAGCTAATTTGATTCTCAAGAAAAGAAACGTTTTTAATATTATAAGTGTTCACAACTTATATCACATCATGCTGATTTAATATTTTAATTGAAACCATGAATATAGTAGAAGAAAAGTATGAATTTCTTTCACACACACAAAAAAAATCAAACAGTAGTGTATAGAATAAATTAAGTAGAAAAATAAAATTTATTAAGTCAAAGTCAATAAAGGCTATTTTAATGGCTTTTAAAGCCATTTTTTTTAAAAGATGAGGTAAATAATACAAATGTCACGATTCAGAAGTCTTTATTCATTATTCAGTTTTCTTTTATTCCCAAAACAACATTATAACATAAATGATTTGAGATTTTATTCTACATTATAGCACGTTTTATAAAAGCCTGGAGAAGGGCACTAACTGTGGTGGTTAGGGTTGTTCACAAGGGGGAGGGCTGGCCCTATGAGAAGCACTTTGATATTGCACTGTTGATGAGAGAGAGAGTGTGCAGAGCGAGAGAGAAACAGAGCGACAGCAGAGTGCTCTGTAAACAGGCTGTCAGAAAAGAAAGTGCAGGGGCATTTTCATTTGCTACAGCCAAAGGAGAGTGTTGCGTACAACACTGAAGGATAATCACGAGAGGGAGAGAGAGAGAGAGAGCAAGAGCGAGAGAAGGTTTATTAATTCATGCAGGAGGGGAGGGATATTTCTGCTGCTGACTGAGCTGGTTCCAGCACTGCCTGTAGCATTTTGCTTGTGAGTCCATCCATACTGTGACCGTGACAGCACTCAGATCAGCCAGGATTTGACGCACAGCATCACCTGAACGAGCAGAGGTAGAGTACGATTTGTCCTTCTTTCTCGCACGCACATCTGTTCTCTGCTCGCTCACGTACCGATAAGTGCTGTCTGCCGAGCAAATGACCCTTGTTTTCCTCTCACAGTGTGTTCTCTTATGTCAACACTGCATATCAGGCACCAAAACATGCACGTTTATCTAGCTTTTGAACTTGTGAAGTCGCATTAATTGGTGCGCTTTTTCTTTACTTTTGTTTTCTGTCCTCATCGTCTCACAGGAGATGATTTTAGGTGTTTCCTGTGCTTTGTAGAGTTCACGTGCAGGATGTTGCCTGCTTAGTGCTTTGTTATTGTCTACATTGGCATAGTTTGTCTGTCATGTCAGAGCTGAGTGCAGATAGTGTTTATATTTCACACTCAGTTGAGAGATCAATGCCGCGGGATGATGGTTTCTGTTGAAATGGTAGGGGGGGGGATGCAGCTCGACCATTTGACCAGGTTTGTTTGGCATCTTCTGTGATGCCCTAAAGCGGCCCACAATCTCTATTGTGAGGGAATGTAATCAATTTTGATGTGTGGGATGATTCATTCTCTTCACAAACCTGTGCTGTCATGTGCTTGTGAGATGCTGGTTAATCTCCAATCGGCTCGCTTAATTACGGCTCATCATGTAATCACCAAAGGCACAGGGTCTTCATGTCTCAACAGGATCTGTGGAGCAGGAACAGCGTGAGCTATGTGTTTGAGAGAGCTTTTTCGCTGTTGCTGCTTGAGGACGCAATTCATGTTGTCAGTCTTCATAGAGGGCTGAATATTTGTTGAAGCCGAATGTTTGCAAGTAATTAGCTCTCAATCATTAGAAAAAGACACACAGATAACGAAAAAGAGAAAAGATTGCTTGTGACACTCAACCCAAGGTCAAAAACGGCAGTCAGCCACGGAGCATCTTAATGGAGTCCACAATAAAGGAGAGCCTGAATAAACACTCACTGATCATACTGTTGTCTTTGGCTTGTCTCTCATCTTTACTATGCTGCTCTTGGGTAGATGAATATGTTTCTGTCTGCTGGAGAAGCACAGTGATTTTATCCTGGTGTCCTCACTGGAAGCACACATTACGAGAGCCACTCAGAGGGTCTGTATTAGTGTGGAAGTTTTCAAAACAAATAGAAAGGGAGCATGTTGTTTTATTTTAAAAAATATTATATAGTGCTGTGGTTTTCAGTACATTAGTGTTCTGTTCTAGGAACTGCAGAAGTCGCCTCATGTTGACACTCCTACGCGTTTCCTAAACACTGATTACTGTATGCACAAGACGGCCAGCTTACCATTCTGAAATGATCACAGTAAGGACCGTCTTATCATTTAGTCTCCTTATTTTCCTTTTTTGTCTATAATAAGAGTGTGTGATCTATTCTCTCAGTGTCCTTCAACTTCAGAATCCCAACAAGCTGGAGGCTTCAGGGTCAGCTCATGTCCTCTGATTGAAACCACTTACCTAAAAATGTCTTTTAGAGCAAATTCATGATTGCTCTCTATTTTAAAGGATAGAAAAATGAAAAGGGGATGGCATATAGGTGAAAGTCAGGCCAGACAAAAACAGTCTGCTTTTGATCATAGGAGCAGGGGAGGAGCGCTCCAGGGCTATTTCTGTCCCTTTGTCTGCTTCTCAAATTAAGTGATGGAGCGATGGTGCTACAGCTTAATTCCCTATTCGGTTGATAAGCACTGGTCTCATCCCATCATCCTTTGAGGGACCATTATATCATCGCAATGTGACATCAACAAAAATCTATTCAGTTTCTCACTGTTCACTCGTGTTAAAAATAAAGGTTCCGAAAGGGGTTTCACAGCAGTGCCAAACAAGAACCATTTTTGGTTCCCCAAAGAACCTTTCAGTATACAGTTCTTAAAAGAACTACTATTTTTTATATAAATTATTATTAGTGTAAATTACTTTTTAATAATCTACTGAACCACTACAAAAAACAAACAAAACAAACCAAAAAAAAAAAAGTTCCATTGATGTTGAAGGTTCACTGCCAATAAAGAACCTTTATTTTTAAGAGTGCGTTCTTAAATCTACGAATGTACCATCAATATTTTTAGATATATTAAATATACATTTTCTTTCTGCTTAGATTTATGCAGGATAAAAGCTTCTTGGCTCACTTTTCCAACTAGCTTAACTGAAAACTTTGTATTGTTTATGTTTATAGTTTTCTTAAAGCCCCCATGAAATCATTCAACAGACACTGTTGTCTTTTTTTGTTTATTTCCTTTTGAAACAGGAAGTTTGTCAAAGGGCTTACTGCTTTTTTTTTTCTGTAGTTAGTGGCCTTTAGTTATGTTAGCCCCATAAAACAATGTTTTGCTCTTTGCTAGTCGAGTGCGGGTGGTATTAGTGGGTGAGACTTTAAATTCATATGTGTTTGTCAGCGTTTTGTACAGTAGTAAGCAGATGACCTCACAGCTAACAGACATGGACTAAAAGCCACAAAACTCTCATTATGATTTTTGCTTTCATTAAGCATCATGGCTTGTTTAGTGCTGTTGTGCTGCATTGTGATCTCGTTCTGTTTGTGAACAATGGGTCTGAATGTAGTGGAACGATATTGTGAGCACCAGCCACATGACGCTTGCCCACCTGTCATGTGAAGTTACAGTGGTAAAGTATGTAATTATAGTTGTGCAGTTGATCTTCTCAAATTACTATAAACTTTTAGCTTGTAGCAGATAATACCAGCATGATGATATTTTGTAGTTGTATTTGGCTCTGCAGAATGAGCAGAGTTATATAGCATGTTATTTTCTTATAAAAATAGAAAAGAGCAACACAGCAGTCTGCCCAGTCGTGTTTTGAAATAAAACTGTTTTGAAAATGTTTTCATTAACCCTAGGTTGTATCGGAATATTAAATAGGATCCAAGCAAATGGGGTCCCCAGCAGTACTGCAGAGGGTCTACCAATAATTGTTTGATCTCAAATTAATTTTTGTTGAAAAAGGTATGATTTAAAAAAAAAATGTTTTTAAAGAAGTCATTTTAGCAGATATTACCCCGGTCTTCAGCGTCACTTCAGAAATCATTCTAATAAGCTAATTTGATTCTCAAGAAAAGAAACGTTTTTAATATTATAAGTGTTCACAACTTATATCACATCATGCTGATTTAATATTTTAATTGAAACCATGAATATAGTAGAAGAAAAGTATGAATTTCTTTCACACACACAAAAAAAATCAAACAGTAGTGTATAGAATAAATTAAGTAGAAAAATAAAATTTATTAAGTCAAAGTCAATAAAGGCTATTTTAATGGCTTTTAAAGCCATTTTTTTTAAAAGATGAGGTAAATAATACAAATGTCACGATTCAGAAGTCTTTATTCATTATTCAGTTTTCTTTTATTCCCAAAACAACATTATAACATAAATGATTTGAGATTTTATTCTACATTATAGCACGTTTTATAAAAGCCTGGAGAAGGGCACTAACTGTGGTGGTTAGGGTTGTTCACAAGGGGGAGGGCTGGCCCTATGAGAAGCACTTTGATATTGCACTGTTGATGAGAGAGAGAGTGTGCAGAGCGAGAGAGAAACAGAGCGACAGCAGAGTGCTCTGTAAACAGGCTGTCAGAAAAGAAAGTGCAGGGGCATTTTCATCTGCTACAGCCAAAGGAGAGTGTTGCGTACAACACTGAAGGATAATCACGAGAGGGAGAGAGAGAGAGAGCAAGAGCGAGAGAAGGTTTATTAATTCATGCAGGAGGGGAGGGATATTTCTGCTGCTGACTGAGCTGGTTCCAGCACTGCCTGTAGCATTTTGCTTGTGAGCCCATCCATACACTGTGACCGTGACAGCACTCAGATCAGCCAGGATTTGACGCACAGCATCACCTGAACGAGCAGAGGTAGAGTACGATTTGTCCTTCTTTCTCGCACGCACATCTGTTCTCTGCTCGCTCACGTACCGATAAGTGCTGTCTGCCGAGCAAATGACCCTTGTTTTCCTCTCACAGTGTGTTCTCTTATGTCAACACTGCATATCAGGCACCAAAACATGCACGTTTATCTAGCTTTTGAACTTGTGAAGTCGCATTAATTGGTGCGCTTTTTCTTTACTTTTGTTTTCTGTCCTCATCGTCTCACAGGAGATGATTTTAGGTGTTTCCTGTGCTTTGTAGAGTTCACGTGCAGGATGTTGCCTGCTTAGTGCTTTGTTATTGTCTACATTGGCATAGTTTGTCTGTCATGTCAGAGCTGAGTGCAGATAGTGTTTATATTTCACACTCAGCTGAGAGATCAATGCCGCGGGATGATGGTTTCTGTTGAAATGGTAGGGGGGGGGATGCAGCTCGACCATTTGACCAGGTTTGTTTGGCATCTTCTGTGATGCCCTAAAGCGGCCCACAATCTCTATTGTGAGGGAATGTAATCAATTTTGATGTGTGGGATGATTCATTCTCTTCACAAACCTGTGCTGTCATGTGCTTGTGAGATGCTGGTTAATCTCCAATCGGCTCGCTTAATTACGGCTCATCATGTAATCACCAAAGGCACAGGGTCTTCATGTCTCAACAGGATCTGTGGAGCAGGAACAGCGTGAGCTATGTGTTTGAGAGAGCTTTTTCGCTGTTGCTGCTTGAGGACGCAATTCATGTTGTCAGTCTTCATAGAGGGCTGAATATTTGTTGAAGCCGAATGTTTGCAAGTAATTAGCTCTCAATCATTAGAAAAAGACACACAGATAACGAAAAAGAGAAAAGATTGCTTGTGACACTCAACCCAAGGTCAAAAACGGCAGTCAGCCACGGAGCATCTTAATGGAGTCCACAATAAAGGAGAGCCTGAATAAACACTCACTGATCATACTGTTGTCTTTGGCTTGTCTCTCATCGTTACTATGCCGCTCTTGGGTAGATGAATATGTTTCTGTCGGTTGGAGAAGCACAGTGATTTATCCCGGTGTCGTCACTGGAAGCACACGTTAGGAGAGCCACTCGGAGGGTCTGTGTTAGTGCAAACGTTTTCAAAACAAATAGAAAGGAAGCATGTTGTTTTATTTTTTATTGTTGTTTATTTCTATTCTAAATTCTATTTTATCTATTTGTTGTATTTTTTATTTTAAAAAAAAGCCCTCTAACACTTGCACTCTCTATTTGTTTTCTAACTGCTTGTTTTCTTTAAAAAAAAAGGCCTCTATTACTAGCTTTCTCTATTCTTTTTGTGTTCTATCTACTTGTTTTCTTTTTATTTATTATATAAAAAAAAAACTCTTAACACTAGCGGTCCCTATTCTTTTTCTATTCTATCTATCTGTTTTGTTTTCTTTAAAAAAAAAAAGGCCTCTATTACTAGCTTTCTCTATTCTTTTTTGTGTTCTATCTACTTGTTTTCTTTTTATTTATTATATAAAAAAAACTCTTAACACTAGCGGTCCCTATTCTTTTTCTATTCTATCTACTTGTTTTCTTTTTATTATATATTAAAAAAAACACCTTGCTACGTGAACTGTGTTAAGCTAACCGAGACTTGTCATAGCACTTGCGTATTATTGCTCTTTTGTTGGTTTTGATTGCTTCTATTGTCCTCATTTATAATTCTCTTTAGATAAAAGCGTCTGCTAAATGACTAAATGTAGATGTAATTTTAAAAATACAATAGTGCTGTGGTTTTATGTACCTTAGTGTATTTCCTCTTCCTGTTTCCACATTATGATCAACTACTGTACTGTCATTCCAACAGTAAGTAATAATAGTAATAAATGGGTAACACTTTAGTATAGGGACCAATTGAAGAGTTCAGATGCAAAAGCCTCTAAGTGCTGTCAGAAATTTTCATCTAAAATGAGCATTTTTATCAGGCTCCTATGTTTAGGTTCAGTAATTTTTACTCTAATGGCAATGTATAGGTAATTTTATATGCAATTAAAGTGAAATAACTGAACATAAATATAGGAGAGTGATTAAAATTCAGTAATTTTTACTCTATCTAATGGCAATAGGTAATTTTATATGCAATTAAAGTGAAATAACTGAACATAAATATAGGAGAGTGATTAAAAATGCTCATTTTAGAAGAAAATTTCAGATGGCTCTTAGAGGCTTTTGCATCTGAACTCTTCAATTCTCACTATTAACTAGTTGCTTATTAGCATGCCTTTATTAACATATTGACTGTTTATTAGTACTTATAAAGCACATATTCTGCATGACCATATTCTACATCCCTAATCTTACCCAATGCCTAAATTTAACAACTACCTTAATAACTATTAATGCAGCAAATTAGGAGCTTATTGAGGCAAAAGTCATAGTTAATGGTTTGTTAATAGTGAGAACTGGACCTTAAAATAAACTGTGCCCAATAAATGTAACACATTTAGTGTGAATATAATTATATATTTTTCTATAAATATTTTTTAGATTATTTATCATATTTTATTTTCATTTTACGTTTTTCCTATGCTATTTAAGTTGTAATAATAATAATAATAATATGAAGAATTACATAATATTAATTATACACAATATTAGCTACATAATATAAATTACATTTATTTTAGGGTGCTCCGATCAGGATTTTTGAGGGGGATCACCGATCACCGATCATAGAAAGCAGTATCTGCCGATACCGATCACCGATACCGATCTTTTTAAAGCCTTCTTTTTATCATGTAGAATTATTTATAGTGATGATCCAATCAATATTTTTTAGACATTTATTCAGGGCCTGAATTTCATTTTTGAACTTAAGCGGTGCAGAAGCAGCACTGACTGTGCTTTCACACAGGAGTCTGCAACTGATCCGTGGCAGTTTACTACAAACACAACATTTATCCATTATTTTGATTTCAAATTCAAACATTGTTACTTAAAATGCCTTTTCTGCATTGCGATTCTTTTTTTACACAGTACAGTAATACAATCTATCATAGACGTGTTAAACGCAATAAATATAAGAAACACATTATTAAATGCTTTTTACTTTTGCATTTACTTCTAGATTTATATATTTAGTTGCTCAAGCAATTGGCAAAACATTTAAACTACTTTTCTTACATTATCACAAACATTCTAAATTAAAACTTACCATTGACAGAAACAGTCAGCACTACTGCCTTTCTTTCGCATTAAATATTTATTACAAGCAATCCTGCGTTCATAAAACACTTTATTTTCCTACCTCCACGAGTGCCATCTATTATTGGCTTGTTTATCTAAAAGTGCTCTTTTCCTTTAATTCTAGCCAAAAAACCATAGCCTATGTTTTGACTGTGAAACACAATAGACTTTAAATATATGCATTTATGGTGTAATTACTACATTTTCGTGTAAATCCATGTTCATATTTACCGCAAACAATGCGCTGTTACTTTAATTCAGCGCTTGCATCGCTGCAACAATCTCTGCATGGCTGCAGACGCACCGCTCGTGGAACGCACTGCCAGACCGCAACCACATGCAGTCTGTGAACGCTTTAATCCGTTAACATGAGCGCGGATAAAATACGCACCGCATACGTAGTGCAAACGGAGTAATGTGAACCTGGCGTTATGTGTGCGCGCTGCGAGTGGGCATGAGTGCACAGTCTCCAGGAGAGCGCGCGAGCGCTGAATCGTTTAAACACTGGCAAGAAATAAAAAGAAATGCAATTTATAAACTTTAGTGATGATGTGACACTGCCTCGATTGTGCAATTGTAAATTCCTGTGTCAACTGTGCAGCGTGCAGCTTGCTTATAGTGCAACGCGATGTGTGGTGATTTGAAGCCATTTGTGTATTTTGTGAGCGAAAGAGAGAGCGCACGCGCAAGTGGTGATTCACTCACGCTGTTTGTGAAATTACGTCTCATACGAGGTTTTCAAATTACTTTATAAGTTATTTAATGAAGAAATATGGACGTGATGTGATTTAAAGCCATTTGCGCATTTTGAGAAAGAGAGAGAGCGCGCGGTGATGCACTCATGCTGTTTGTGAAATTACGTCTCACATAAGGTTTTCAAATTACTTCATAAGTAATTTAATGAAGAAATATGAATTGTACCTCACCTTAAGCATTATCATTATTTTACCCACGCCGGACAGAGACTGAGACGGTGCCGCTGCATGTCATGCCAATCCTCTGATAGCAGGCGCGTCATCAGCTTGAGATCAGTTTTTTGAGATCGGCCTTTTTAGAGACCGCCGATCAATCATCCCAAAGCGATTATCGGCCGATAGTGACCGGTAGCCGATCAATCGGAGCACCCCTAATTTATTTCATATAATACTTATACATTATTATTGCATTAAATATAATTTTTAAAAAAATTTCTGAATTCATAAATATATAGTATTGTTTGAAATATATTTATTTTAAAAATCTATTTAATGTGATATTATCTAAAAAGGCAAATTTAGCTCTTTTCCACCTTTGCTCTGCCACTTTGTTAGCGCTCTGTTGTTGATGTTCAGTTACATTAACAGACATTCAGACCGGATTGAAGGGCAGAAGGTTTCCCTTTAGCTGGGAATCAGAGCAGGTCTTGCCTGGCTTTTCCATGTCATTGCATTGCAATTTCGAACCAAACCCTCCTGTTGCCATGACATCCAACCCCTCTGTAAATACTCCCAGGATTTTTTGAGCATGTAGGCCCCAGGAGAAGAGCGAAAGAGAGAGAGAGAGAGAGAGAGAGAGGAAAAGATTGCTCATGTTTTTTCAGCTCAGAGAGTCACTTAAGGAATGGTAAAAGGCTAAATTTATTCTCTACTCTGTTATACTACTTTACGGCATGTATGAGTTAAAAAAATGATACAATTTTTCAAATAAAAAGTGTTTTTTCCCCCTGGAATTATGTGTTATGTCTGCATGTGTATTTATGATAGTAGCATTGCTTAATTTCAGCAGTGCTCTTTCCCTGTGCTGTTTCA